CGAGGATGAATATCAAATGAGGTTACGTACTAATTTTATTTTCTCAGAGGGTTAAAATAGGAATCATTCTTCTCTGCAATCGGACTCACACCGGCTGCATATAGAAGGTGCTGCAAGCCATTATCACGTTGGATGTGCAAGTCAGGTTTTTCTACAAAGTCTCTGCGATTGAGCTGCTGAACATAGCTAGAAAATTGTTTTCAGATAAACAGGCTGCAGTAGATTAGCAGAACTCCGCTTCTGAGGAAATAGAGAGCGTTATCATGAGACAAGCTCTGGATTTGAATGAAATCATGAAGGTGGACTGCATTAGTGAAGCAGGTAACAACCATACGATGTATGGAGTGATTCTGAAGTGAGAGGATGATCAGAAAAAAGCAGAGGCTACTGCAAAATATATTGGGGCCGTTTTTTACTCAGGATGCTCTTCTAGGCGAAGAACTAGACCTGAATACAAAGTTAAAAGACCGTCTGCTCACCGTGGACTTTGGTCAAGACGATGTGATTAATGCTCTTAGCACCTTAGACATGGAAAAGTGAACAGGACCGGGTGAACCAGACTCCGAAATCCTGAGACAATTTGCACAATATATTGCAGCCCCATTGACTGTGATATTCAATATGTCACTTGACCATGATTTGTTACTCGTGGACTGGAAGGATGAAATCGTCGCTCCCATACATAAAATGGGACCAAGACAACTTCCAGCAAACTACAGATCTGTCAGCTTCACCAGTGTCGCTGTCAAAGTGCTGGAAAGAATAATCAAAAAAACCATAATGACATTTGTGTAAACCAACAACTTGTTAAACAACGAACAACATGGTTTCAGAAATTTTTTATCTTGCATAACAAACCTCCTTACAGCAAGATAACAATGAATAAAGGCTCTAGACAACGGAAAATCAGTGGATGTTGTTTACATAGACTTTAATAAAGCGTTTGACAACGTGTCAATAAATAGACTGCTGTTGAAGCTAGAAAATCTTGGTATTGCCTGACCTCTTCTAAAATGGCTCAAGGATTTCCCATTAGGTCGTAAACAGAAAATAAGAATAAATTGGAAGTGCTTCACCTGGAGACCAGTACTTAGTGGAGTACCGCAAGGTTCTATCCTGGTTTCTTTACTTTTTATACTGTACGTAACTGATCGCCAATGTAGAGACCCCAATGTTATTATACACTGACGATGTAAATATCTGGCGAGAAATAACGGTAGACAGATGCATGCGCATTTCAGGCTGACTCAAATACAGTGATTAACTGGTCTAAGGAGTGGCTGATGCCTATAAACGCGGCAAAGTGCGACTACATGCACTTTCGTGGATACAAAGGTAAATAGATACAGCATAGAGGAAGTGCCTGTACCCGAGGTCTGGTCTCACAAGGGCCTTGGGGTGGCAGTGAGTCATGATTCTAAAACCACGGCCCACTGCCGGGAGGTCACAGCCAAAGGGTTTAGAACTCTCATCGCTTTAAGACGGACATTCGCGAAGTTAAATACTACCATGTTCGCTACATTATACACAACCTTAGTGAAAACTAAGCTTGAGTACTGCGTTCAGTCTGCAAGCCCCTGCTTAAAAGGTGACTCGAATATCTTGAAAGAAGTACAGAGGGTAGCTACCCGTGAAATCCCAGAACTACGGGGTTTGTCATACAAAAAGCGGCTTGCAAATCTAGATCTCTTTACTCTGTCCTATCCCAGACTAAGAGATGATCTGATTTTGATGTATGGAATACTAAGAAATAATTTTGGTCCTAATATATCTTTTCTTCTTCTTCCTACCAGATCGGAGCATCTCAGAGGATACAGCAGGAGAGTAGAAAAGCCAAGAACGAGTAAAATACCCGTGGCATACAGGCTTTCACACCGAGTCATCAATTCTTGGAACCTGTTACCCAAAGTAGTGGTGTTTGGACCTTCTGTTGACTCTTTCAAGAGAAGAATGAACACTCACAGAGGCATACTAGAAAAAGAATAACATAGGCCATAAGCCTCCTGTCCTTACTACATAAATCTGTGTGATTCCAGCGGCTTTTTTATGTATTGACGGTACCTGTGTTCTAATTGTAAAGTAAAGGGTTGACAGTGTAGTTTTTATCCTGAAACAAGTTCGTTGCTAATTCATATGCATATGTTATTCATATATTCACAAAATGTCCCCTATCCACTGTAAAACTTAAACCCTTGTTATATGTCTAGCTTCTGTTAGATTCATAACTTTAGTTTCCAATATATATATTCTTTAAATTACTCTATATGTGTGTTGGAAACAAACAATGCTTCCGGCCACTACACAAAGATTAGTCTTAATACCACTTTAGGCCATTAAATATTTTGTTGCTGGAGGATTATTTGTAGACCTTCGGTTAGCCTCTTAGCATCTAAAATACTAGCCTCGATAATTATCAGACGCCTAAATGAGACTCATGAACTGCAAACATGAGAGAATCAATCTGGCTTCAGACCCAGTCGTGGCCGCATCGACCACATATCCAACATTCGTCAGATTTTTGAACACAAACATGCTTATCGGCATCCGACAGTGGTGGTCTTTCTTGACTTATAGGCAGTATTTGACTCTGTAGACCGGGAGGTCCTATGGTAGTGTCTGTCATTGAAGGGCGTACCTCAGAAATACATAAACCTCCTGAAGGTTTTTACTTGAACATTACTAGTCGAGTCAGAGCTTATGGCAAACTGTCATCTGCTTTTGCAACCTCAAGTGGTATACGTCAAGGCTGTCCACTTTCTCCATTTTTGTTTGACTTCATTATAAACCTACTGATGGACATAACGTTTTCGTCGACTAAATTTTCGGGCATTGATCTCCTACTAGGAGATCCACTTATCAACTTAGAATACGCAGATGACATAGTCCTGTTTTGTGAAGACGCTAATGAAATGCGGTCTTTTGGTAGCACTGAGCAAAAATGCCAGGTTGTTTGGGGTGTGTTTTCCCTCTGTAAATGCAAGTTTTGGCTTCAGGACTGACCTGCGTCGACACCTGAACTAAGGATAGGGAGTGAAGTAGTCGAACGTGTTGACAAATTCACTTATCTTGGAAGTCTGATCAGCCCTAATGGGTTGGCGTCTAACGAAATCTCAGCACGGATTCGAAAAGCTCGTTTGGCTTTTGCCAACTTACGTGACCTGTGGTGAAGGCGAGATATCCGTCTATCAATAAAAGGACGGGTATACTGCGCGGCAGTTCGTTCTGTTTTACTTTACGGCAGCGAAACATGACCATTAAGAGTAGAAAATATTCGTAAGCTACTAGTATTTGACTACAGATGCCTTAGAAATATTGCTGGCGTCTGCTGGGATCACAGGGTATGTAATAGTGAGGTTAGACGCAGGGTATTAGGGAATGATGGTAAATCAGTTGATGAGGTTATGAATCTTCATCGACTGAGATGGTTGGGCCACGTGTTACGTATGCCTGAACACCGACTACCACGACGTGCAATGCTATCCGGTATTGGAGATGGTTGGAAGAAAGTTAGGGGCGGCCAAACCAAATCGTGGCATCAGTGCTTGAAGACACTAACTTCTAGTGTGAGCCATGTTGGTAGATGCAGACTACTTGGTTGGGGTCCGCGTGACTTTCGTAACCAATGGTTGGAGACTTGGTGACATGGCTCAGAATCGATCACAATGGCGTCGGTGTATACACTCCCTGTCTTCCCTTAAACTAAGAGATTAAAATCACTTCATGTCTTTCTTTCTACGAACCAATTCTTTCTTCTTGTACTATATCTCTATATGCAATCTTTCTCTTATATATTACCACCTTTGACCTAACCACTGCTGTGAATCCGGTGTTCATCTTGTTGTGCTGATGCGGTATGGCAACCTGGATCGATGCACGTATGTGCCTGGTCCTACGTTGTAGCTGACTGACTGACTGACTGTGCTAATGAGGTGTGGCGAATTAGACCGATACATATACGTGCCTGGTCCTACGATGCAGCTGACTGACTGAGGAGATTGAAGGGAAAAGAGTGATTGGTGTAGAGACGAAGGAACACTAAAGTCTGAGACAACTGATTGAGATTTTGCAAATGAAGTATTCATTGTATGGTTTTCAGATCTTACTAAGAGACTCTGTAATTTTGTGTTTAAATACATTTGGTTGTCCTCACTGATATTCTCGTTCACTACAATGCTTCATTTAAATGGACCAAATTAACGCCATTCAGTAACGATAAACATGTTTAGTTAGACACTGAAATCCATTTACAAGACTATTTATTTCTTTGTGTAGTCGATTGGAATACAATGTTGTAAGCACACTTTTACATCGTTTTCTGCAATTCGACTTTATGACATTTACTATAAGTTTAGGTGAAAACTATGTGATCTGGTAGATTACCCATTTTTGATCATTATCTACATGTAAGTGACGTCTTGTAATTCTGAAATGAGCTAAGTTGCTTCAGTTTTGCTTTATTTCAAATTCTCTAAAGTCCCCAACGCTTTACTAAACTTAATTTTACACCAGTCTATAGAATGTTTCAAAGACTCCTTTATTTTATGAGATGTCAGGGTTCTTCCTTATTGGCCTTCACTAGAGTATGCTGACCATGTCATAAAACAAACTCCGCTTCACACACCTTTTCGAAGCTACAGGTTAGTGTATTTACCTAAAATCCTCGGAAATTGATTCTTCATGGGTGTTGTTAATTTATTGATTAAAATAATCGTTTCGTAGTACTTACAGAATCTTTTTCTGTATTGTATGTAATTGTAACCCTACTTGGTAAATAGTAAGTTTACCTTAGTCCCTAGTCATATGGACCACAGTCGTCAAATGTGTACTTTCTGTGATTGGTTTAAAACAGTTGATAAACTTCAAATTAGTGTCATGTGTTTATCTGACTTTTCTGAGAATTCCCCAAAGGCGTCATACCTCACATAGGAGTCGAGTATAATTGATAATCTAAATACTTCGATTTGTAACTCGTTTATAAACTTCATAATTTCGACATTATTCACCTAATAATCTCACGGATCTTTCCGCTCTTTTTGGACCATATTCTCAGTACCTAGTCCTACTAATTATCATTGCTGCAACATTATTTCGGCTTCTTTTGCTATTAATTTTGTTAGTTTCATTTGGTATTGGTAATATAGTATGGCACCTTTGGCCAAGCAAATTCATGCCAAGCTCGACGTTGATGATGACTAACTGACTGACCAGTCCGACTAAATGTGATGGTTGTATGCTTCAATTTTTTAATTTTTAAAGTACTTTACGTTACCTTTTAGCGACTTTTTAGTCCGAATGGTACTGTGAAACTTATTTGAGTTTCCCCTTACAAACATATTGGACTTATCAACCAGGTGTTAATATGACTACCAGAGCAGTTGTAGTAATCGATACACTAATCTGTTATACTTTAAATTGATTGAACATAGATATATGACAGTACTAATGCTCCTAGCACTTACAAAATTCGCTAAAAATCTTTAAGGTTAGTTGAAGACAGTAAGAGGCTTTTAGTACTCTAAAACTGTAGTGTTCCTTTAATAATTTCATCAAAGTTCCATGATACGTGTTCTAGTAGTTCATTATCTGTTACATTCACCTAGTTTTTTGTAGGAGTCGTGTCGCGTTATTGATAGTAAACAGTGCTTTCATTTTTAGTTACTGAATCGTTGTCATAATGCGAAATTTCTGTTTGTCATAAATATTCTAAAGTGTTAGTTGACTAATTCCTACGATTAATTCTTTGTATAAACTTATAGGTCTATTTTTGCCATCAGTGAATTTCTTCAAAAGATGCCAAAAACAAGGAAGCGATCCGTTGATAGTTCAAATGTTCGTATCTATTCTCCTGTTAATGATTATTATGTAGGTTCTCTGTTCTCGTGATGTGTCGAAAATTCGCAAACTAATGCGAGAAAATATTGATGAAGAAAAGTTTGCACAACAATTCTAATTCCTATTATTTCTTAGATTAGTTGTTTCAAAATCCCTAACCGATGACGCTGCAATTATAGAGTCAGAGTCTGATAATGAAGAATCTGAGATGGAAGAAGGATTCCAACTTGATCTTCCTGATTTCGTACGTGATTATACATACATTCTCAGATTACTCCTCATCTATCCATAGGATTCATGTGGTGGTGACGTTTTAGAAGATGATGAAGATTGGAAGAAGTTTTTCAAATCGACCAGCGACAACAAGGAACTGGTGACAGAACTTAAAAAAAATTTGACTGAATCAAAATTGAAGGTAAATTAAGGGTTGATAATATCAATGTGTTATAAACTTTTTTCTTACTTATGGTTATGACCCAGCTATTCCTATTGTTTAGTATTCTCGGACACCGATTCACTCGACAAGTCCCAAAATCAGAACACGGTTGAACAGGAAAGAGATTATATTCCAAATAGCAAGTCAGAAGCCAGTAGGAAGCACAATAGGGGAAAACGTTGGTATATTTATAGTTTTTACATAAGAAGATTCCAGAGTATTCTCCGACTATCGACTAGTGCTGATTGGATAAGAATCAGCCAATCAGCGTGCACCAGAACAATCATGCATTGAGCATGCTTTAATCTAGTCTATGTCCCGCTAACACAATGGCATGTTTGTATGGTAATGGCCAACTTCCGTTTCCTGTGTATGAATAAGATGGATTGTTTTGTGTTTCTTTTGTGAAGATTTTGCAGGAATACTTAACCGTCATTAGTTTTATCTTCCACATTAAAGTTACTCAGCACAGTAAATAGAGATAAGTACAAACCATCACAAATTTAATCATCATTCCGTCCTCATTTTAAGGAAAGTTTAGTATTCTATATTCGTAGCTGAGCTGTATCTTTCACTATAGAAGAAAGGAAACATGTCTTCCTAACTGAACAAAAAGATTAGTTAGACTGCTTGTTATTAGTCTGGTTATAGCTGTCAATATTTGAAGTAAGTTGTTAGTATATTGTTCTACACAAAATTGCTATTCAGTTGAACAAGATCATATCGATAGATGATTTTTTTATTATTCAGGCACTCATGGGTTTTCTTTTAACTTGTCTTGTTTGTGATATGTCTTAATTAGGGCACGTTTTGTTCTGCCATACTAGCCTATCCTTACTTGTTGTTTGTGTGGTTAGACATTTCACCACACTAAAACCCCTCAACGAGAGGGGACAAAGAAAAGTAACACAGCCACTTCCTCCAGATGCCGTCTATAGTCGTTGACAGTCTCACCACCATGTAGCCTGAAATTGTAAAATAACGTTTTAAATTCAATCACCTGCAGATCAAGTGTGCGAAGTCATCCATAAATATACTTACTCCGAGGAGCCTCAAGTACCTCTAAAGACCATGTGTAAATTAAATAATCAGCTTGGTGAGGATGAAAACATGAATGTATATAGCGCTGACACTAGTCTTCCCACAATCAAAATAATAAGCGTAGATGGATTCCTCCGATAAATTAAGTTTTATATGTTTATAATCTGACTAAGAAATCGTTGTGGAATGCATATTTCATTCAGGTGGTATAGTTTGCGCTACTGTCGAGATAGCGGAGAGAAACAGTCTTAGTAAGCCAAAGTAGTCACGCGTCTGAGCGAAGAATCAGGAAAAATTAGTGTTGTCGGATGATGCAAACCGTCCTGTATAATACATTTCTTGGTACCTTATTTCACTAAGCAGTCTTTTATATATCAATTAACAAGAATTTAACCTCATGAAAATAAGGTGACTCAAGCTGTTTTCTTCCAGAATTCAGTTTTAAATCGTCTGACTAAACTCGGTCCGATAAATAAAAAATATGGGTGTTTTCAGTCAGTAACTTATTGTGAAAATAACAAAGTATCCACACTATATTATCGAATTTCTTATTTGATATGGAACTGCATTAATGAATGACCGAAAGCGTTTTTTCTACTTTGGGGACATGTTCAAAGAAGCAAACAGTTAACAGTCACCTGTCCATTTTTGTACCATTTATCTTTTGGCGACTACATGCAAATACATTTAGATAAAAAAATGACGGTAACTGATGTTGAATGCGTATTCACTTTGATGAAACTAATTTAAGGAACTCGATTACGGAATAGCATCTTTTTAAAAAATATAACTATAAAGTTAAATTCACAACGAAATATTGTTATTCAAAAAATTAAGTACGAAACTGTTATTGATCATTGTTGTTTCTGGTCGTTCATTATTCTAGATTTCTGAAGATATGTCTCAGTACACTGGTAGTATTATTGGTGATTTGGATGAAGTAAGAGGATTCGAAAGTTTAAATGAACTTCCTGAAGAACTACGGGATCACTTAAATCTTTTAATTGATGTACTTAGAAGTTACAGAAGTGGACCATTACCAAAAACAATTAAAATGTTACCACATTTAGAGGGATGGGATAGTCTGTTAGAGATGTTAAAACCATTAGAATGGTCAGTTCATGTATATCCACGTATTGTTAAAGTGTTTGCATCTAAAGGTCATGAACCAGCAAATCAGTAAGATTTTGTAAATTTTTATCGGTATAATTTGTTAACTAATTGTTTGTTCATATTCTTCAAATAGTTGTTTTTCTACCTAATTAAATTGTTAATTAATGTCTATATTTTGATTAAATCAAGTCTGTTTTAAAATTTTTCTATGGAAACACTAAATTAAACTTCAAGTGTGTTTAATAATGATATATTTATAAATATACTAATGAGTAAACAGTTAAATTTTATGACTTTTCATCAATCATTAAAAAGAAGTGGCTTACATTGAGCCACAAAACTTCGGAAAATCTAATTATTTACTCATTAGTATATTCACAAACATACCATTATTTTTCGTTATTAACAAAATCAACTCTGCAATGCAGATAAATCACATCCAGCTGACGAGTCCCAAACAGGATGAAACTCGCGTCTTGAATTCCGCTGATAGCCACCATCCATCATTGCTTATAAATTTACCTAATGTTCAATTTATTTGAAATTTCAAACGAAACCTTGGTAATGATCCTTTTAAAAAGGATGAAACTTTTAAAAAGAATTTGTTCAAACATTCATAAATAGCATTTTTCTACTTATGCCATTTTAAAAACTAATTCAACATTTCTAATAATATGACTCATTTGTCAACCTCGGACATTTTTAAACCTCATTATTTGTAAGAATTAGCAATACTACCTTAGTGATCAAACCAAACCAGGTGAAGTGAAGTTCTAATATATGTGTTTATTGAAAGATTTCTGCATCACTAATATTTATTCAATTGATCTATTTTTATGTAAATGATTAATGTAGAGAAATACATTCTCATTTGCTTACTAAAAATGTTTTCCGAAATTTGGAAGGAATGAGCAAATGAAATGTTTTTAATATATTTAAAACTGTGTACATTCATTTTCTTGTGACGAGGTTCAAAAATATTCTTTTTCTTCATAGCATCTACTTATTTGTATTGATATATTTTTAAATAGAAGTTATTGTATTCATTCTAAAGGAAAACATCTGTTATGACTAGTAATACTTGGCTACTAGTGTGAGACTTCAATGGTTTTATTAATCAAGATTATCCAATGGTTATGAAGTTATAGGGATAGAAAATATTTTGACCGGTTACTTTTCTTAATTTATATATAGTTAGTAACTACGAGTTTGTTACTAAGCCTTCTCTATTTTTAACCGATCACTTCTTGAATTCAGTTCGAATTAGTTAAGCTTGATTAAATCGTGTTCTGTAGGGTGTGTACGTAATCTGGGGTATACTACTTCTATCGTATACCATGTATATCCTTTTCTGGTTACGGACAAAAACAAATCTATATTTCGTTCATTGACCATTGATGTCAAGTACTTAGCTTGTACTTTGAATAGGACTTACTGGACGACTCTCCAAACATTTTCTAGATCCGAATAAAGGAAAATAAAATGTGTACAATGTTATTTAGTTCTATGGTGGGAGTAACTAGCTGTGCATTACTTTCTTGAATTATCAGTATAAGGTCATGGAGATGGAGTTTTTATCCAGATCGTGTACCGATCAGTGTTAAACCACCGGTGAAAACTTGGGAGCACTGGACAACCTCTTCATCCTAGTATGGGACTCCACAGCAGTGCAGATACACGATCCCGCATGTGAGTACTAAACCCAGGACCTTTGGACTTGCGAGACCACTAAGCCAGTATCCAACGGTGTTAATGTCTAACTTCAATCGATCCACGATACTATGTGGTCAGTGGAGTTCAACTGTGTCGGGTATGAGTCAGTTACCCACCGAAGACAGCAGATGGTAGCTCAATATTGTGATCAATATCATGATCTCAACAAAAACTTTCTTCAATATTCAGTCTGTAAATCATTGATATGAATCTAAGCTTTTCTATCTAATTATTAGTTGTACATTTTAAGAATCTGTATATTAATCATAATAACATCCAGAGTAGCTGAAGTTTTCAAGATGTATGGATATTTATTGAGTGTCAGTCTATGAAATGTTTATACTCCATTCACATGTTAAAAGTTCCTCACTGTATTATTAAGATGTGAATTGGGCCAATTCTAGCTATCGATATCTATGAATCAATGTTTGTTAAAACTACAAGAAATAAACCTCAAAATTCAATCCTTACACTGTTCCATAGTGATTTAAACTGAAGTTCTCCGTCTTATGACTTTTCTCCCTTTCAGCTTTTATGAATCTTATCTATTACCTAAAGTAAAGCAAGATATTGAAGAAAACAAACGTTTATGTGTTCATTTATATGAAGCATTAATTGCATCTATGTTTCGACCAGAAGAGTTCGTTTCTGGTGTCTATCTACCTTGGGTTCAGGTAAATTTTTTTTCCCATAATAATGTTTCTTTTTTTTAAAAAAAAAGAAAGAACTCAAAGTTGATGCTGTAATTCAGTGAAACAGATACTTCAGCGATTACAGTTTGTTCATAGACGTTAGTTTTTTATTATTTGCACATTCTGAGAAGCAGTAGCGTTAATACATTCACTCTTTATCTCCTCTAGATCCTGAATTACAATATTCGTTTTTACATACCTACTTTATACTGTTTTTTCGAGTCATATCCTCTTTTTTTATTCTGATTATTACTGCTGATACATTATTCTGATTCCTTTGCTAATTTTATCTCTTAGTGCCAACTTTATGTAGCAACTTGTGTTACTTCATATATACATCAAACTTTAGATTGATAGTCCTAAGCAAAGATGGATGGTGGTTAGCAGTGGGATCCAGGACGCGCGTTTCGTCAGGACTCAGTAACTATGTGGATAACAGGATGGCATTTGAAGCGAACGATACTTGGTTCGATTCCTGGAGTGAATATCAACTTTGGTATTCAGGCACATCACATCCAGGTGACAAGTCTCAAATAGAACGAAACGCGCGTCGTGGATTCTACTGATAGTCACTATCCATGTTTGCTTAGAATGAGCGTGGCAATATCGAGGCAATCCGTACAGGATGCACATATACCAATAAGAGACTGATCAATTACAGTCCTAAACATCAATGGGAAGGTTCAAGTAAACAATACAAAATAAATTTTATGGTAACTGAACTCTTATTTCTCACTCGCTTCAAAATCCTTCATAGAAATTCGGAAATACATTTCTGAAACTACGTACAAAATTGAATTTAAAGTGGAAGATTTATTGCAATCTAGTAATCGAGTCCAGATTCATGTACTGGAATCTGATCTATAGTTAACAAGTTGTTGAAAATTCTCATTTCTACAGAACGGCATCACTAAGAATTTTATTCTGTTTTGAATCACCATCTATAGTCTTTTTAAAATTAACTTAATCACAAGTAAATGTTAATCAGGTAAGTTGTAGAAACTAAGGGTAACTAATGAATTTTTTTCCATTCTACAGTTTGTCTGTAAGACTTGTTTTCAGGTGCCATCAAGCCTCTAGAATACGTAGTGAACATTTCAACTAGTGAACGTTTCGATTTTGTCTTGTAGTGAAGGTGACAAAACTCCGCCTGACGGGGACAGCGTATTCTTCAAAATAATTGCTAGCATTCGGTATCAGAAGTTATTGATTTGAAAGTAAATTTTAGAAAATAACAGATTACTTGATAACATACTTTGATGACTGAAACATTTCGCAAGTCACTGTTTAACACCGTCTAGAACAGTTTGTATTCAGTTTTCGGTTACACCGCACTAACTAACTTCGAATATCTCTATTATAGACTATTAAATATATCTGTTGTATTACAGTTTATTAGTTCGTGTTATAGGTTCTCATTGTATTTAACTTATTTCGATCCGGACACTCACTAGACTTCAAATAATATTTGTGCTTGCATATACAACTCATAACTGGTCCCTGAAATCGTTCATACCTGAATTATACTAAATATATCTAACCACGTTAGATACGCTCTCATATCAAGTGTATCTCTTTAGGCATATTGCTTTCAGCACAAGACAATTAACTTCAATCAAAAGCTGTCGTTGCTTTCGAAGAATCTTTATGTAACTAATTATAAAACCGCTTATTAAAATTTATTCTGTTCTATTAAAACTGTTTTACTTATCAACAATTGGATTGATTCTTGTCACAAAACTTATTATTTTTGTGAACCGATATACATTTTCTTTTTATTAATTCTTCAATTATCAATCATTTCCTCTTTGTATATCTGCTACTTATTTAGTCGGAGATTTCTAAAACTGAAGGTGTAATCCTGTCCAATCTAATTAAAAGAGCGACCTTAAAATCACGTTTTGCTGCAGTCGCTCTTGCTCTTACATTAGAAGAAGATTTCAGCATTCCTCGATCAATGGTTATTGAGACATTTTTAACTAAAAAGTATCACTTACCAGAAGCCGCTGTCCAAAGAATTGTCGATTATTTCATTAGGTAAGCCGTTTAATTTTTAGTATATGTACATACTTTTCTCATCTATAGTGTGTTTTACTTTCGTAAATTTTGTGAAATAAAATACTTTTTCACTCTTATCGAATAATAACATAAGATGTTAATGCTTCCCTCGTAGTCAGTGCACTTTTCGGTATTTTGAATTTATTGAGTGGCAAAGTATATGATTACCCAAAAGTTAAGCGCTCATAATCAGACCCAGTTTCGATTCCTGTTTACATTACTTACTTACTTACGCCTGTTACTCCCAATGGAGCATAGGCCGCCGACCAGCATTCTCCAACCCACTCTGTCCTGGGCCTTCTTTTCTAGTTCCATCCAATTCTTGTTCATTTTTTCATATCTATCTCCGTTTCTCGGCGTAATGTGTTCTTTGGTCTTCCTCTTTTCCTTTGGCCTTGAGGATTCCATGTGAGGGCTTGTCTTGTGACGCAGTTAGGTGTGTCCTATCCACTTCCAGCGCTTCTTCCTGATTTCTTCCTCCGCTGGGATCTGCTTTGTTTTCTCCCACAGTTAGTTGCTGCTAATACTGCCCGGCCGACGGATCTGAAGTATTTTGCGTAGACAATTGTTAATAAACACCTGTATTTTCTGGATGATGGCTTTCGTAGTTCTCCAGGTTTCTGTCCCATACAGTAGAACTGTCTTGACATTTGTATTGAAAATCCTGACCTTGGTGTTGGTTTACAGTTGCTTTGAGTCCCAGATGTTCTTCAGTTGTAAATATGCTGCTCTTGCTTTGCCGATCCGTGCCTTCACATCTGCATCAAATCCACCTTGTTCATCAATGATGCTGCCCAAATATGTAAAGGTTTTTACATCTTACAAATCTTCTCCATCAATTGTAATTGGATTGGTGCATCCTGTGTTGTATCGGACAATTTTGCTTTTCCCTTTGTGTATATTGAGACCTACTGCTGCTGAGGCTGCTGCCACACTGTTCGTCTTCTCCTGCATTTGTTGTTGCGTTTGGGATAGAAGGGCCAGATCATCTGCGAGGTCTAAATCATCCAACTGCATCATAGATGTCCATTGTATCTCGTGCTTCCCTTCAGATGTTGACGTCTTCATTATCCAGTCGACCACCAGGGGAAAGAGAAACGGTGAGAGTAAGCAACATTGCCTGACACCGGTCTTTACCTCGAACGAGTCTGTCAGCTGTCCTCCACGCACGATTTTTCAGTTTAATCCATCATATGAATTCTGTATGATAGTAAATATCTTCTGAGGCACGCCGTAGTGTCGAAGAAGTTTCCATAGTGTTGTTCTGTCCACGCTGTCAAATGCCTTTTCGTAGTCAATGAAGTTGATGTAGAGTGATGAATTCCGTTCAATTGATTGTTCCACAATGATCCGTAGAGTTGCGATTCGGTCTGTACTCGATCGATCCTTACGGAATCCTGCCTGTTGGTCACGAAGTTGGGCGTCTACGCAGTCCTTCATCCTGTTTAACAATACCCTGTTGAAGACTTTTCCCGGTATTGAGAGAAGAGTGATGCCACTGTAGTTATCACACTTGCTGAGATCGCCTTTCTTTGATATTTTGATCAGAAGTCCTTCTTTCCAGTCTTTTGGTACTTGTTCCTCATCCCAAATCTAATTGAAGAGAATGTGGAGTATCCTTGCAGTTACCGCTACATCTGCTTTTAGTGCCTCTGCTGGAATGTTGTCCGGTTCTGCTGCTTTGCCACTTTTGATTTGTCTGATGGCCATGCTGATTTCTTCAATTGATGGCGGGCCAACATTGATTGGTAGGTCCCTGGGAGCTGCTTCGATGCTGGGTGGGTTCAGTGGAGCTGGTCGATTCAAAAGTTCTTTGAAGTGTTCTACCCACCTGTTTCGTTGCTCTTCAATCTTGGTGATTACCTCGCCTTCCTTGCTTGTCACTGGTCGTTCTGGTTTGCGGCGATTTCCAGAGAGTTTCTTTGTCGTGTCATACAATTGTCTCATGTTTCCTTCTCTTGCAGCCTTTTCTGCCGTTCTCGCTAAATCCTCCACATATTTACGTTTGTCATTTCTGATGCTCCTCTTCACCTGCTCGTTTATTTGTGTATTCAGCTTGTGCCTTGGCTTTCTCTGCTCTTATTCGGCTGGTATTGATTGCTGCCTTCTTGTTCCTCCTTTCTTGAATCTTATCCAGTGTATCAACAATGATCCATTCCTTATGGTGGTGCTTCTTGTGACCCAGGACCTTATGACATGTTGAAGTGATTGCCTCTTTGATCCCTTTCCAGTTGCTCTCCACAGTAATTCCTTCTCCATTGGGTAGATCATGAAAGGTCTGGAACTTGTTGCTGAGGACTATCTTGAATTTATTGAGTTTGTTAGTATCCTAAAGAAAGGCCGTATTGAACTTTTGTGATTTCGTCCGCCCCATTGTCCAGTGCTTCTTGAGTTTCAATTTCATCTTGGCGACCAGCAAGTGATGATCTGATGCTATATCAGCTCCTCTCTTGGTTCTCACGTCCTCTATAGTCCTCCTGAACGTTTTGTTGATGCAAATATGGTCGATTTGGTTTTGCGTGGTGTGATCCGGTGAAGTCCATGCGGCTTTGTGTATGCGTTTATGTGGGAATACAGTTCCGCCTATGACCAGTTTATTGAAGGCACATAGGTTTGCAAATCTCTCACCATTTTCGTTCCTTTCTTTCAGTCCGTGTCGTCCCATGATGTCTTCATATCCAGTGTTGTCCGTTCCAACCTTGGCATTGAAATCTCCCATCAGAATGGTCAGGTCCTTTGTTGGGCACTTCTCGACGATTGACTGCAGCCTATTGTAGAATTGATCTTTAGCGTCTTCATTGTAATCGTTGGTAGGCGCATAGCATTGGATGATGTTCATTGAAGTACCCTCTTTCTTTGTTTTAAACGAGGCTTTGATGATCCTTGGTCCATGAGATTCTCATCCTATAAGCGCATTTTGCGCTTGTTTGGACAGGATCAATGCAACTCCTTGTGTATGTGGTGCATTTTCTTCTTTATGGCCGGAGTATAACAGGAGCTCTCCTGTAGTTAGTCGTTGTTTTCCAACTTAGGTCCAATGTGTTTCACTGATCCCAAGTATCTCTAGGTTGTATCTTCTCATTTCTGCAGCAATTTGGAAGGCTCTCCCGGTGTCCCACATTGTATGAACATTCCATGTACCTAAATAAATGGTCGCTCTGGTTGTCAGAAGGGGCATCGATCTCGTAACTTCCGAAGGAATTCGGCTTTCATCATGAGGCGTCATAACTCTTCTAAATGAAGACCTTCTGACCCCCAGGGCAGAGTTTAAAAGGTTTGAATATTTTTTTTCTGGTTAGCGTTTTTTTAGCGAGTTAGTTTTCTACGGGATGGGGACGCTAACCCCATGCCCAACTCTCCTCCTTTATCCGGGTTTGGGACCGGCAGTAGCCCCCGCAGGGACTCCAGGCGGAGTTCCCTGTTTACGTCATTGTTAGATATCCTTACTAGAACGAAACAGCTATCCACTACACTTTAGTTTCTGATGTTATCCTAGCAGATAACAATATGTGATAAAAACCGCCTGTAAATTTAAAGATTTGTTTTATAATTCAAAACATTTTAAAAACCCACTACTTTCCACCTGCATTAAATCATTAAAGTTTTGTACCAGTTAAATAATACCACAATTATTTTTCCAACCATCATATATATGAATTATTTCAACTCTGATATTTTTGTCTCTCCTTTTGTCAAAGGATAGACAGAACGTAAAATGTGCCGTGAATTGGTGTTCTTTTGTGAATTTTCCAGTGTTTACTATCATAAAAACCCTTTTCTCATAGCAAAGGAGTGCATACAGTTAACATTCATAATATTCTCAAATATAAAACAATTTGGATAATTTTGATTTTGATTATTACCCTGAAGAAGTCCAGACAAGTTAGCTGGACGAAACGTTGGAATTAGTTAAATTTCAATCGCTGAGAATATTTCAAATATAATTTTCACACATAATTAGTTTAATCGCAATATTTTCAGTTTTGAAAATAGACAACAGGTAGGCAGGTTGATCTTTTCGTTTTTACAATAGTTCTTGTTTTATGGTGATGGTGAGTTATAGCCATTTATTAAGTTACTTCAAGATTAAAATAAGTGAACAAATATAATTTTTTGTCAAAAGTGCAATTAGTTTTGTTCGCCGACGATAATCTCACGATAATTTCTTATTCTAATTAGTTATTTAATTATTGGATTAAATAAAATGATCACCTTTTTTATTTCTAGACTGGTTGTATGAATGCTTGAATTTTACCTTTGATTATGTTCGTATAGTCTTGGGAAAGTAGTGCTATTTGATAGTCGTTAGTTTCAGTGTACATTTTTTCAAACTGTTAATGTTCTTGCATACTGCACTGAAACTTACTGTTACGTTGTTACTTCAAATTTCGACAAATTGAATAATCAAACAAAAGCTACTTTTATGATTCCACTAGTATTCACCACCATTATTAGTATTTAAAAAAAACTCAACTAATAATTATACTTTGATACATGTTAACGTATGAATATTTCAGTATAGATTTCTTAGAAAGTAATTTAAAAATTTGTATAAACTTTTTATTCAGTCGTGGTTTGTGAAGGGATATAAAGTGAAAGTTTTTCTATACTGTAGTGCGAAGGAAAGCGACAGAGGACTAGTATCACAGTCGTAAAAATCGCTTGACCTTGGAATACATAGATGGTTATCTAGTTATAACCATGTACGTCGTTTGCGGATCCTTTTCCCCTCTTAGTTCATAGTAAATTATTGGCTCAAAGGATTTTACCTTAATGTTCGGTTTATGTTTATAGTGGTGATATGAATGTTCATTATTTTATATGTATAGTTAAAATGAGGTAAAAGATTGTTTGATCACTACCCGTTACAAAAATGTGTTGTTGTAATGATCTCTAAATTGTACTTGCTTTTATGCATATCTTCAGTATTATCAATGAATTGTCATATCGGTTTTATAACCTAAATTACTTTTATACCTTTTCCATTTTAGTTTTGATAAAGATTGCACTGTTTACTTCACCGATGAGAAGCGTATGCCGCTGACCTGGTTCAAAAGCTTATTGGTATTTTTGGAGTTTTATAGGCATTGTGTTAACCCGTCTCAGCGTGAAAAGTTACTTAAATTATGTCGCCGTCATGAACATCCACAAATAACACCAGAAATTAGAAGCTTGCTGGGAACTATTTCACCTAACTAACATAATTTTTAACATCAAATTGTTTTGTAAATACATTTAATTTGATAAAATATTGACAGATTCTGTTGTCTTTACCTCTCTGGTTGTCTTCAAGATTCATCTTACAATACAGGTTAATTTAGGTGTTTCTACAAAGTTTAACTGTTTAGTATGTTTTTCTAACTGCAAAGTTTATCTTTATGCAATCTACAATGACGTAAGTTGGCCCATTTTGATTTTTATACTTATCTATATCGCTTCAAAATAATGTACTTATAAGCTAGAAGTCGGTTAGATCACCATTGTGGTTCATTGCTTCGAATACACGAGACAGCTCATTACAGACCTAAAATTAATTGGATGGTTGTGCAATTGTTTGACAACAACACAGCATAAAGTCAATATTCCAGCATTAATTACTTCCTGTTTGGTCAAATCTGTGTATTTTGGGCTGGAAAAGTCTACAGTTGACCAAAAACAGTTTAAACTATAAATTGTCTACCCAAGTTAACATTATACTTTAAATACTCTTCATATTGTCTTAGAAGTGTGTCCGTCCTAAGATCAATAAATGCACTACTATAAAAGGCGGGTGCATAGTTTTAGTTGGCTAATTATTCCCTGCTGAATGCTACGAGCTAAATCATATCTCGCATGGCTATATCGGACTTGCGCATGTGATGTAGCTGTAGGTTAAACTTTTGAGATCTGTCTACGTGAATTACCCATGGACAACATTTCCGTAAATGCTTCCGCAAAGTTAGTCTGTAATTACTACCTGAAAGGTGCTTATGGGTGTCAGCTAGAACATTGAGTAAGAATATCCTTGGATTTAACAGGCTCCTAATGTTTGCGGTTATTTAGTATAAATAGTTCGCTCCACATTTATATCCCGATACTTAAGAATTACTACATGCCCTTCATGTTCTCTATTAAAATTACTTCAAATGATCATTTCCACTAGTCTTGCCTAATTTAGTAGTTAGTGATAACACTTCTGGCCAGTAATTACGCTTGTAAGGTAGGCATAAAAGTGGGTAAAGATCATTATAATTGGGAATTAGAATGAAATACATAGATGTGTTGGGTATATCTGGTTCTCCCTGGCACTTGATCATATTCTCTTTCTGCAGAAGATTAAGGTGACGATTCATGTAGGCTACGTTGAAGCAGTGAATTCTGATTAAGTAGGTGGTCGTTCGTCTTCTGGAATACAAGGAGACAGGAAGTGATATATCTGGGGGTTGAACTCTTAACCGTTATTTTTCGTGTTTTGCAGTCACACTGGGTATTTCTGAAGTTCTTTTGTGTCCTCTTTAAGTTAAACGACTGTCAAGTCTGATCACAAAAGCAGTGGGAGGCTTATATTTCTGAAGGTTCAACATTTTGTGACTTTGGAACTGATATTAACATGTGCTTTCAACAGATGAACTTATGGGCGTCGATAAAAAGTTTGTTTGTGTCGTTTGGATAGCAATTGAAACCCTTTATGATTAGAAAGATTGCCCAGCCGTAGTAACATTACGTCGAGCTCTTGTGGTTTCCCAACTTGGTAGTCGTACTGCCTTGCTTTCTTAGCAACTTCGGGGAACAACAAATGTTGATGGAATAGTGTTTACTTATGAAAAAATAAAACTAGCGACAAGGCTGCTAAACTCATGAGTTTGACTAATCTATCTGTGTTGGTTATCCTTGATATTGATTAGACTGAATTAACATTTCGTGCCAATAAATTGTTATTTAGTTCTAGCCAAATCATCAATCGGACAGATCAATGGATGTTGAGTTGTTTGTTGAACCTATCAAGGTCAACTAATCAACTGCATGCCATGGACCGGTTCATGTGGCAGCGGGTCGAATATGTGCTTCTTCAATACTTTCCTATGATACATTGTTTTTGGCAAAACTGCTTCTTTCTATGCAGTCATCACTGCAGTCTCAGTATGTGGATACTAAGACAGTATAATCTGGGTTATATGTGTCAACAATGAGGTGTAACTTAGAGATAAGCGAGGATACACCATTTTCGTTCTAACCCACTAAAGCCTGACCATCCATGACGGCTACCTAAACTAGTGATCACTGGTTACATGCTAACTACTTATCACAGAGTGGGAACTCTCTAATGTGAATAAGGTTACATTTATTTCGACAGATTATTTGGCTAGGGTTCGGTTTTACTTAACTAGGTCAGTATACTTAGGAAAGGACCAATGGAATGCCGCACATTATCTTAAAGACTTTCTTAACAAATAGGAAAAGTATTCATAGTAGTTGGGTTTATTATGGTTTTTGTAAATTTCTCGAATTCGTTTGAATCCAATGACTTTGTATGAATCGGTTTATTTCTTTGCGCTCCCTTGTTTTTTTCTGTACGATACCATGTATTTGGTTGTGTTCAGTGAGTCTGATAATGGCCGTCCACTCAATTGAAACTCAAATGTTTTGCGTGGTAGCTTAAACAACCTCATGTCGAAGTCATGCCATAAAATGATTATTTAGCCTGTTCTAGCCTGACTTGATGGACAGGCTAACTTGTTTCCATAGCGCATTGTAAACAAGGACAGGACATAACATTGAGAATAGAGAGAACGAACTTATCGATTTATTAATCTATCAGCCTACTGATTTCTTTATACCGATTTAGTGAATTCTAAGTTATTCGTCTTTTGAGTAATATATTTGTTGATCTGTTCGTTATGTTAACGATTCGAGTTTTTTGAAGTAGGTTATTTTGCGTGTGTGAGCCATCGTTGGTGCTGAGACGGTGCCACTAAATTTAAAGAATAACCAGACAGTTTTATATTGTGCAATTGCTTACTACTTGTTTTTGCATCAGCAGTTGTGTACCTAGTCCTCCATTTCCGTCCAAAATTTTAGGTTTTCTGTAATCTTCTGTGCAAATTTCATAGCTCATATGTTATCTGTCAACGAAACTCCCGTAAACTGAAGGACAACAGTTTGGTTACTAGGGGTTACTATGGGAACATAAAAAATGCCTATAAAGTATACACAATTTACAGATATCTTTCGATAATGCAATGAGAAGACGTAGTTTATCAGAATTATGTGATATATTTGCGCAATACATTTCGAACAATCTGATCACACATATACTTGTTAAGAACACTTATATATGAAAAATTAAAAGGTCAACTAGACAGGTTAAGGGTAAGTCATAACAAAGGAAAAAATATTAAAGTACACAAAAACAAATTTGATTACCACTCTGGACAGTAAATCAGTACTACCAGGGTAGGTTAAGTGTAAGTACAAATTGTTTTTGAACACATAAAGGGGGTTTCAATTTTCGTATAGCCAAGGCTTCAATAAACCTTAGTATACGTCCTTGAAGGCTTTTGTACAAAACAACAAATGATGATTTGATATCAACCTTATGACCCGTCTCAATCAAATGTATATATATATAAATGTTCTTAACAAGTATATGTGTGATCAGATTGTTCGAAATGTATTGCGCAAATATATCACATAATTCTGATAAACTACGTCTTCTCATTGCATTATCGAAATTTATCAAAGGGACTAATTGTTTTAAATTACAGATATCTGACTATTTACGAGAACACTCTCCTTACATTTAGGTTTATGCCTATCGTTGTCTAGAGGGTACAGGAGAAACAACAATTAGAAGTAAAAACGTTATTTATCATCAACATTCACTTGAAGATTTTCTGTTCTCGATTCACAATATACGGTATAAAGCCCAAATCCTTGGAGTATCAGATACACATATTAGAGGCTTTAACTGTCGCCTAGGAACAGAGCTTATCAACAATAGCTCAGACGTCATGTGGCGGTTCACTGTTTCTGAAACCGAAATCTCACCAATGGGTATCCAAGAGGTCGACTTATATGATCTTGTAAACCTAAGAGTATTGTACACCTAGACAGGCGGACCTAACACAAAGCAAAATACATGAGACACATCGGCACATCAGTTAGTCACGTGATCGATATTATACTAACTGCAAGAAAGGTTAAACTCCCATTATTCTACACATGCTAGTTCATCCACAGAAAGAATTTCAGACCATCATATGGTAACATCCATAATCAAGTCCAGTAGATTTACAAACTATAGTTACCCGTGGACCTAAGACAATATACCTCGAAGTCCGCACAATTGAACTAGAAAAGATGGCCTTCAACACATGGAAACTGCCCTTCTACAAGGCTGAACTTCAGTCAACAACCAGTGCTTTACTAAACCTAGCCTCTCGAGTAATTCTCAAGTCAACGATAGACCAAATAACAATTGGTCCGGAACTAATAGATGAAAGCACTGTAAAATGGAATTTATCACACATGGAATATGTCTGTGAATAAGGCTTAATTACCACTACTGGAGCAAACACAGGCCTACGTTGCCTTCAACTTCACATGAAGGAGCTATGAATGCAAATTACCCTATGAAAAAAACAAAGACAATAATAATTAATAAAGAAGTTGACAATCTTAAAACAGTCACAGACAACCACAAACTTTAGGAAGTCACCTCTTTCAACTACAGTCAATGATGGTGAACGACGGAATTGTTACAGAAAGAACTGAAAGTGTTTGACTAAATATTAACTGATATACTGAACACTGTCAGTCTCCATATGTTCTTGATTTGTTTGTTGTACTCAAATTATGAACTTGTTTGCTTATAACCTTGACCTCAGATATTTATACTTTCACTCTGCTTCGTTTTGTTACTTTGAAAGTTTTGTCCCGTAAACCTAAGACTTGAAGGCTTGTTGTGCATCTGTTATAATAATTAATAAAATAATACATTTGGGATGAGTGATTGTAATAAATGATTAAACTTTGATACATGTACTGGAATCTAGTCATCTTGTTATTTGGGTCGTAAATCAATTGACCGTGCTTCAACAACTCACTAGAGCGAAATTTAGACGTGACAGGAGTATCTGACGGTGCAAACAAGATTAACATTGGCTGGGCCAAAACTGCAGTTATTAAAATCAACCCGATGCTGAGCTCCACAAAAATCAGCATCCGGACAAAAATTGAAATGACATCCTCAATAACTTGGTGAATAGAG